GTGCGAGGGAGGGAGAGAGAGAAAGAGAGAGAGAAAGAGGAAGGGAGAGAGAGAGCGAGAGCGAGAGAGAAAGGATATAAAATGGGAGAACGACGCAGTATCGTCGACAGAGTTGGGCAAACTTGTTGTATAAAAGACTAAAGAAATCAAAGTGGAAGTAATGTGTGTTTGTTCGTGATAAATAAAATATTTATTTGAAGAAAATTTTATTTATAGAAGAAGGACAACCTTTCTATTACGATTGAAATTTATTTAAAAAATCAGACATTTTCGTTATTTGAATGGTCCTGTCTTTGTCTTCCAGTTATTTCATCCAATTTCTTATCCATATTGAAAAAATACATCACTGAACATATACAACTAGGATAGTTACATTAATTTATTCTTTTGTTTTTATGTAATCTATGGATAGTAAAAATTAAATGCCACTTTTATGATATTAAAAGTTTTTATGTATACTGTATTGAAACGCTGACAATATGTTACATAGATTCAATTATAATGTTGCAATTGTAAATAAGCTACTTTTGTGTTTTTGTTTTAACGAACTGTTGGAAATTAGGTGTTGTTTTCTAGAAGAGTTATAAGTATTTTATTTCTGAAAGTAGTAAAATAGTAAAGGGATCATGTACCATATTTATTGCAGGTATGTATGAATTTTTTGTGTTAGGAGAATTGAATTATATCAGAAGCCTACGGTTTCGTTAGAGGAAATTTCATACGAATTAACAATTCGTGTTTATTAGAAGAAATTTCCATTACTCATGGGAACGTGATATCTAACTTGTAAAAACACAATAATGCAATTGTACAATATCAGAGAGATGGAAAACAATGTGTACATTATAAATCAAACACGAAATTATTTACATTTGACCTAATATCAAACCTACTTTGCATGCAACGAAACCTATCACTTATAATTTCACTTTAAGACCAATCGACGTCTACTATTTCATTAACAAACCGTTAAAAATATTATCGAAATATAAATACTTCAAATACAAATCGAAATTCTATATTCCTTTCAGATTCACTCATATTGAAAGACCTTTTAAGAAGTTTAGTTAATTTTCAATAAAAGTAATTCTGCGAGTGACAGAATTAATTACAAATTACAATATAACGAAATGAAGAATGTACAGCATCCAACTCTGATCGTCAGACTGTGTCACAGAGGATAAAAGAAAGGCCCATTTTATCTAATTCATAATATCGATACATAAATAGCCGAGTCACGTATAAACAGAAAAGAAGTTAATATCGACGATAGCACGTTATTCTCGATTTACGTTGTAAGTTGTAATGTAAACGCAAACATGTATATAAATTCGATTAATACCAAAGTGTGCGGAGCTTCATGTGAAAACAGTAACGCACTGAATTGTAAATAATGATTCCATCCCCTGCCGTTCCCTCTTATTTTTCATTGTCGTTACATTAGCGAATCGTTTTAGTGGTGATTCGTTTCGGTGTTTGTATAGAATCGTTCCACACCGCTCCTCTTGTAATGTAACTTGTATGAAAGGGAGAACATCGTAAACCTAACGTTTTCGTAATCTATTCGGATCGTCTTCGGATTTGTATGATATTTCTATACCGGCGCACACGTAATAAATTGTCCAATTAAAGAGCACTAGTTTATCGATTAATTTTCCAACAACACTCCTTCTCTACTGGTCATTTTGTATTCATTACTGTTTCTATCTTTCGCACCCTTTCTGGACCACCTGATTTCATAGAATATTTTCTACAGGTTTGTTTGGTACTGAATACGTGTAACACAAAATAAATACTAGAGAAATAAGTGATTAATAATTAATATTTTTTATTTTTAACCCTTTGTCCTGCAATATCGTGTCCGACCAGTGGTGACGATTTCATAAAGAATTTAACAAATATAAATATGACTTTATTCTTCCAAGTTCGAATTGAATATTATTTTCCTATTATTAATTGTAATGCTTCTGAGTAAACGTAAACATAAAATAAATGTAGAATTTTTCTCTTTTTCTAATGAATTATGAACAACAAGATATCTCCGTTGAACGTAATTGGAAAAGAAATTATAGGGCAACGAGTTAATGGTCTGGTGTTTCACTCTTTAAATTACTTTATTTTTCACTTTTAATGGTGTAAAGAAAACAATTGGTTTCTATCTGAATTATTTATAAAAAGTAAGTTTTTTTGATTTTTACAGAGACGTAAGGTATTTATGGTAAAAAATTAACATTTATAATAATTTAGATCCACATTAAGATAATGCCAATTAAAAATTTGAAATCAAGTGTAAGTTTGAGTGGAAGATCAAGTATAAGTTTGATTAGAGTAGTTTTTCTTGATTAAAAACTGTTCTGACGTAATCTACATTTTTATAACGGCATCATTATGCTTAACAAGTATGTAGTACGTTTGTCGGGGAATTCCCCCACAAATCGATTTACCTGTGATCCCTCAATAGAGGTTCTATAAATGTGTTTAGCTGAGTTATTTTAAATATAGTCTTAAGAATTTTTTAACTAATGATTATTGAAGCTTATTCTATATGCCTTGAATTTTATATTTTGTGCATGACGGAGAGAAATCTTTTCCAGTTCAAAACTTGATTTAAAATGTCACAACCGAAGCGTAACAGAAAAAGTATGAAAAATTTCGTTAATTTGCAAATAAAAAATATATTGAAGTTTCATATTATCCGTCGAGTTTATTTGTCCCATTTTATGTATTGCTAATTGGAATGGCTCAATAATTAATCCTTCATGATATAATGCAAAAAGGTAAATTGTAATGCCATCTAGCGACAAAATCCTCAAACTAAAGGAGGCGAATTATAGACCTACATAAGATACGTTAAGAAAACGAGATAATTTACCGAATAGAGTACGTTTAAAAAATTATATTTATTAATTTAAATAATACAGTACGCAATGTTGGCTGATAATGTAATATATTATCTCGTATTATAGTATCACACATACAAATCTTTTTGTGTGAAAAGTAAATAAATAACTTCAGAATAATAATTTAAATTATTATTATTATTATACAGGAGATATTGTAAGACCGTAACATTCGTATACTAGACATCCATCAGCTGTAGTTAACTGCAGTACGTTGTAAAACCCGTAAATATAAATAAATCCACATCGGGAGAGAAAAGTTCGCATACATCTCAAACTACTAAATTGTACTGAAATAGGTGTATACGTAGAAAACCATAGTTTTACACGTAGAAAATACCATTTAAACTCTTAAATTTTATCATCTAATGATATCACTAAGGCATCTATCATTACGAAAAATAAATGCAACAATTGTATCGGTAAGTGAGATACAATTTGGACATTTGATCGACAACGACGAAATTGAAAAGTTGATTGAGCAGACAGTGGATACGATGTATAAAAAGTTACAGCAACATTACTTTGAACTTTCATCGATGAGATTCAAGAAACTTCATTGAATGGTTCATATTACATATAAACCATATTTTTTTTTTACGACGACCCTTAAGTACCGCTTGAACATCCATATTACTGATTAACCGTATCTTACATATACAACAAAGACGTACTAAATACATATAAATATTAAATAATGCTTCACATATCTATATATCCAACATTAATTATGCACATATACATATATGCACATATATACGTATATAAGTAATATCGTCTAATGTAACATTAAATAATAGAAACAATCTTGTACATTCATGTAATAATAAGCGTATATTATGAGTGAGCTTACAAATATAGGAATGTAGATCGCGCGAGAGGTGTAGAACAGTTATTGTTCTTTGTCAGCTGAAATAAGAAACGACTTTTATGGCATACTCTCGAGGCAATTTTTAATGTGTTGCCAAGCTTGCAGCCCCTGCAATTATTCATAATCAAATATATCTATTCAGGTAGGTCTATAAAATTGAAACTATAATAAATATTTACCTTTCTAGCGAGTTTGAACTGTAAGATGCAGTATGCTGCTAATATTTCTTTTAAATCTAATACCTTCTGACGTTGAAATCTTTCTATATCCATCATTGCTTTAATAGAAAAAGACCTAAAAATATTATATAAGTAGATATAGTATTTAAGTAGAATATTGATATTAATTATTTATTTATTGTAAATAATGTTTACTTGATTCCAACAACTAAATGATATACAATTAATTAAACTAACTTTAAATCCTCATCTACCCTTTTGACAGCTTCTTCATGCTGTGCAATTCTTTGGTCTAACTGCAATATCTTTAATTCGCGTACCTCCTCTGTGTCTACTGAACCAAACAACCGTGACATTAATCCTGACTTTCCTGTAATAGCAAAAATCATTCTATTATTAAGTTCATACTTCTAATTAAAATTGTTATAATATTATCTATAGTACAAGACCTTGCATAACTTTCTCTTTTTGCTCCAATGCAGTGGTCAAGGCATCATGAGTTTCATCTTTAGTTAACTGTAAAGCTTCTCTTCGCCTGACAACTGCTTGTAATGCAGAAGCACCAAATAACCATTCCTTTAATTGATCTGCTATCAATTCTTCTTCTTCAAGAGTTGTATCTATCATTGCAGCTAATGAATCCAAATAATGGCCCGATTTCTAAGAAAAGAGGCTGTAATGCAGTGTGTCTTGCAATACATATACTTAGAGCGTACCTTAATTATACTTCGTTATTTATAAAAATTATTTATAACTTACAGAAATATTTCACATTTTAATTGATTTATACAGAGACATTGAAAAATTTGAAAACTACTTAAAACTTAAAGTACCTGTAAGCCGTCACCCATTTCCCTTTCTATGGCACTCCATTCACTAAATACACGACCATAATTTGCATGTAGTTTGTACAAACTGTACTGTTTCTCCACTAAACGCGCACGCACTCGTAGAAGATTGCATAAGTTACTCTAAGGAAAACATTAACAAAACTTTATAAATATCCAAAATTTAATTATTTTCTAACAGTCAAATAAATTATTAATGTACCTGAAGTTCAATTCCATAATTCTTTATTGTTTCAAACCTTTTATCTGGTTTCCTTAATCTTACAGCTACACTCAATGCTTTTAATTTTGATTCTGCTAATTGTAAGTATCCTGTCAAAGAATACAAAATTAGAATATTCTATAAGTGTACTACATGACTTATATAAAACATTTATTTAACAAACTATATAATTTACCAGTCTCTTTAACACTTTCTCTCCAGCCATCCTTCTGTTGTAGAAACCCCATGAAATGCTCATCACGAGATAATATTGGATGTGATGCTACCCTCAGAAGGAAATTCTTAAGAAAAATTTGTGCCAAAATTTCAAATGAATATGTTATGTTAAATACTTTGATAAGTAAACTGACAAAGTAAAAGAACAAGATGAATGTACCTCAAGACCTGCTCTACGTCGATCAACAAAATCTGGATCAAATGTATCTGTGGTAACCTTTTGCCAAGGATAAAGAACTTTTTTTTCTGGTAATGGAGGCAGTACAATATAGGGATATGAAATCTCTAAATAAGCTCTAAGCAGTTCGAATTCTGTATATCGACGCCATAGAGAACTTATTTTGTTAAGCGCCCCTTTGAAGTCTGGATCAGTAACTCTATAAGAACATACCAAAATTTTCCATATAATTAACAATAAATATCATAAATTCTGTTACTTTTATTATATTACTCACTTAGTCTCAATGAGGTAAACTATATAAAATTCTCTTAAATTTAATGCTCCATTTGCTCGTTTCTCAGCTTCGACTATTGAAATCTCCATATGCTCAAGTAATGAATCCTAATGTATAATATAAAAAGTAGATCATAGTATGTATAAATATTTACATCATTAAACATCATACATCATACATTAATATTATGTAAATATTGTGCGATATTTAAAAGTTATAAAATTCAAATTCAAATTCAAATAATATAACAAAGAAAATAGTCAAAATTATATGACATTGAATTAAATAAGCAGAAGTTCCAATTATTTAAGGAATTGAACATTTCTAAATACTGTAAAAAAAAACCTGTTATAAAAGTATGAATAAAAATATAGAATTGCTAATTTCATTTCAACCTGAGTAATTACACACATGTTTGTAAAATATATATCTCATAACACTTGCGCGGGTAAATACTTACTATCTACTGTAACTACCGCCAACACCTGTGCAATGGTGCTCAATCATGAATCTATGACCTACTTCCACAACGTATTTCCGAAGAGACTAAACAGTTATAATTTTCAAATTTTTGAATATAAATCATTTCCTTCAATAATACGCATAAATGTATATGTTCTTTATTAGAAACGTTTAATATTAAAATAATATCCATTAACCATCACAAAAAACTGTGATGTATTATTTATATTTAATAAATAAACGATCGTACAAATGAATTAATAATAATAAAATCGTAATTATAGTTTAATAAAAACATATCCCTAAGTAAATAGCAAACATAGAAAGACATGGGTCTTCGATTGTCTACAGAACATCAACAATAACAGAACATGAGAAACACTGAGCGTCGTTTCGATTCTTTTGCAATATACTTACGTACGGTTTCAGATTATTGAGCGTCTTTTTTTCCTAAACAACATTGACTTTCATCGTTCACGAGAATAGAATAATAATCGAAACATTCGTAAAACTGTTTGGAAACAATTGTTTTGGAATACAGAACCCAACGATGTATATCGATTTGGCGGACGAATTAAAACAGGAAGAGTACCGAAGCGTTACTTACCTCTTTCTGCAATTCCGTAGTGGTCATGTTCGCATTTGCCTCTCTTTGATAATTCCCGTTTTGAAATACCTCTTCCATGATTTCAGACCAGTCTAACAATCTACGAATGACAAGAGAACTTTGAAATCTTTCACATCACGTACACTTTCTCCATTACTGTCAAAGCCGCTCGATTCGACTGACAATGAGCGCTGTTTGAACAGAACTAAATTCCCTTTGAGCTGACCGATAACAAGATTTGTTTATCACTAACTCTTTCTTGAACGTTTTTTATCGAAAAAACTCATTCTAGTTATTACAATTTTTATAAATAATTTCATATATATATAATTTAAACTACACATGGAATCCTTTTCCGTATAATTCTGATTTATGAAGATGTAAATATTATCTAGGGACTTTTAGTTCCGTGCTGATGTAGCGCCACAGATTTGAAAATCTGAGAAATGCTTCACAGATTGACATTTTTTGTTTGCAGTTCTAAACTACCGACTTACTATAGCAAGTGATTAATTAAATACTACATTGAATACTACGCTACTTTAAATACTACACTGAAGTAGTATTTCAAAGACAAAATGAATGATTAGATTCATAATTTCTGATAAATATAAGTATAATAATTACAATTATACAACTCACATCAAAGAGTGTCTATGTACCTTATTAATTAAAACTACATGCAATTTTTAATTTTTCAAACACTTGAAAATAATTAAAATGTATTCTTATACAGTACATTAATATGAATCAAATTACAATTAAGGAATATCAATTCCGATTATATAATATTTTTTATATTCTTCAAGAGGAAAGAATGAGAAGAAAGTCGCATTTGCTTTAAATCAATAATAAAACAACTTTATTGTACACGTTTGTACAAAAAAAAATTACTTTAATAAATTACTTCAAAAACTTACTAGTTATTTAATGCGCTACCTGATGATTCACTCACTGATTAAGTGATTACAGACAACGTCGGAATCATTCTTAAATGATACCACGCGACGTAGACACGACATTCTTTTTAAAAATTTCACCTATAACACGCACTCGTTCTACGAATCGTTTATGTAGCTTCACGTGTACATAGAAAACGCGAAGGGATCTTATGGTGTATGAGCGTAACCGTACTGTATTTACATATTTACATGATGGAAAATCATGCACCTGAATAACACATCGATGAGAAAACAACGATATAATTTATTTACACGTGATATTCTTAGTTGCAGTTAGTTAACTTGTAGAATTTCAAACACCTAGATTGAAAATTAACATTCACAGAATACTGTCGTCAAATAACGTTCTTCGATTTGTCCGTTTCCGAATGCTTTCGAGGTAGAAGGCTCACTAGTAAGGCTGACACTGAAAAATCGATGAAAGGAAACAATAACAATTCTATTCACAAATAGTTTCACGTTAGCTGCATCGCGTACTGAACGAAACATTTTTAAATAAATTTTTACTCTAATTACTTGATAAAGAATCTCATATGACTTATCATGTCACCACTAAAATATTTTAATTTTTGCACAAACGCTAAGTATTATCTATATCTGCAAAGCTCTTCAATTATCCACGTTAACGAATACTAAGATACCTCAAAATTGTATTATATTTATGGTACTATATAATAGTTTACCTAGAGAAGCAGAACCTATTAGAATGAAGGGTCCTATACATGATAAGTTGAATAAAACTGGGAATAATAAGTTGCCTATGACCGCTCCGATTCTGCCGACCATCATCGTTAGACTGACGGCCATGGTTCTAAAAGAAAATCATTCATTATAGTAAAGAAAACGTTTATTCTATTTTCACTGTTGTACCTTAAACACGTTGGGAAATTATCCACGATAATGTTAACAACGCAAGCACCGCCTATGCTCGACATTGCCACGAATACTGAACACAAACCGAGAATACTGTTAGTGCTTTCTGCCCAATAAAGAGAACCGCAGCAAGCTGCGGCTACCACGAAACAGGTCGCTGAAAGAGAAAAATTGTAAATTACTGCTAATGCTGTTCGAAACTTACAATTAAAAATATGTATGCTGTTGAACATTAAAGAATGACTATAAGTGTAGCATATGCAGTGTAATGCAACATGGGCAACATTTAATTTAAACGAGAATTTTCGACATCACCACTTACGATTAGTTTACGTTAAACTTTGTTACGACAAATGTGTTTGTATAATGTTTAGTAGATTTACCTATGAGTTTCTTTTTCCCTACTACTGTAATCAACGAGCCAGCCAAAGTATATCCTACAACTCCGGTTGTAGCGATTACGATGGAATTAATGAAGACCCTTGCGTTCAAGACAGTCTGAAATGAGACAAATAGAGGTTCACAAGTGTAAAATCACGTTCTTTATTGTAGAGTCTTGCTCTAACCTATGTTTATGGAAATTTTCCTTAAAGATTTTATGAACAGTGTAAGTATAGTTGTAAAAGTTGACGTTACATCCTTTTTTTAAATTACGTATAAGAGAAAGTGGCAGTACAAACGTTCTATTTAATTAAATTAAATGGAAATATATTTATTTCAAAAGACTATTAAATGGTGAATGTTGTAATACCGGAATGCACACGTGCGCAACGTTTAATGTTTCATTCACGAAACTTGTCGAGGAACTATTATTCGTTGGCTGTTGGCCTAGCATATAACAGAAGCGTGGTTGCGAACTCGAATAGTTGTTTTTCGTGTAATTGTTTTTGAAATGTTCCATCATGGAAAACAACTGAGGCATCCACAGTCTAATCGAGTTCGATCTACGAATTAAAAGTTGCTTAATTACTTGTGTATTCTTAAAGGGATAAAATTATTCTGATCTTATTATACTGAAGTAATCGAAAATATCTGAATCAAATTGATTGTGCTTTCAAATATCAATACAAATTTTTATATTGTGTTCCTGGTAATTCGAATTAATTTCTTGAATTGCTCACGGTAAAACCTTTAAAAATATCCGTCTTTTAAGAGTCAATGGCAGTAAAGTCATTATTTAAGTAGAAAAATGAATTCATTCTTACCCTATTGTGGCACCAAGCTGAATCAAACCTATTGCAATGAGTTTGTAAATGTTTGGTGGCACGAAGAGAGGTTTGATTTGCTGCAAGCACACACGCACCTTGTCTTTTACAGTATTGCTTGATAGTTCAACGGTGTCATACTCCTCCTCGAGATCTTTTATCTACAAATGAAGATCATCATTAAATTAACAAGTCACTGGAACAGTAATTCTACTTAAAAGAAAATTAAGTAATTCTGTTTAAAAGAAGAATGTAATATTTTTTACCGGATATGTATCTGGATTATTTCCGGTATTGACCGCATATATTTTCTTGAAAACTTCAAGAGCCTCTTCCCTTCGCCCTTTCAAAAGGAGAAAACGAGGACTTTCAGGAAACGCGAACATTGCTATGCAGGCAAGGAATTCTGGCAACGAGCAAATTGCTAAAAACACTCTCCAGGAGCTAATCTCTATGGTTTTGCTCATTAAATTGATGTTCCATTTTTGAGGTATGATGAGCCACGCGAGACCTGTATGTAATAATTTCATACTTTTGCAGTGAAATAAGAAAATGGAGACTACAATTTAATTAGACGAATAAACTAAATTATATTGAATGAAAAATGAAAATACTACATAAATGATTTTTTCTGAAAAAATACGCTGATAGCAGTCATGCAGATCTTAAAAGCATCTTTTCAAAATGATGGAAATAGTGAAGGTTGAAAAATGTTTTACTGTAAACAATAAGTAATTTTTTAAAATTTCTTGTGACTGTTTTGTCTTGTTCAAATTATAGAAAAATATATAAAAGGAAGTCAAGGTGTTTTAACTTTGGATCCAAGCGTTTTGACGCCTGAAAGATTTCATTAATCTTCCGCCATTTTGAAGACACATAATAATATCCTTTTCAAAAGCAATTGTCGAATAATCAATACTAAAAACTGTTAGATGTAAGAAGAAATAACACTTACAAGGCAATGAAATATTACCAAGCGAGAAGAATACACCTAGCCACATGTAAGTTCGAGATCGATGCGCTTCATTATGTACTTCTGCCAAATACGACATTAAAGCGGCATAGGGGCCGGATATGCTGAAAATTTGGAAATATTCTATTAAAATAAGTCAGATATAAATTCCAAGTGCTTATAACTGTGCATGGATATTAAAGACTATATTTTTACTTGAATCGATTTCATCAGGGTAAACAACTCCTACAAATCAATATTCAATACGAATTATATCCAATAATACCGCATTTAAATTATTCTTGGCAATACCGAAACAAGCTTTACCGTTGAGTAGGCTAATGGCCTCGAAATAATTAAGATAATAGTTCCGGGCACACGGGAGGTCTGTGCTCATTGCATTTTTTAAAGTAAGCATAATTTAACACTTCACAGAATTCCAATTACAATAATATTTTACGTAAGTAAGTACAAGATAGAAGAATTTGTAATATGACTATCGATCACAGAGAAAATCAGTAATGTTACGTATATGAAATCTATAAGTTTTTAACATTTAAATATTAATTGTAAAGCATTCTAAATCGCACGACGAAAATACGTGCTAGATACATCTAGCTTACTGCAATTCCGAATTTTCGAAAAACTTCAATGCTCGTTACCACGATACTGGAAGTATTGCGTCAACTTACGTTACACCGTCGAGAAATTTGAAAAAAATTAAAAGCCAAGATGTATGCGAAAAGCATGACGCCAGACTCAAGATGCCAGTGACCATGTAACCGTAAAACATGATCTTCTTACGACCGTACGTGTCGGTCATAAATCCCCAGAAAAACGACGTGCTGATCATTCCTGAAATCAATCGTGTCTTCAGTAACAGCTGTCGTGTTAAATATCACTATGTGACAATGCGGAAGGAGAAAATGAATTGCTCTTGCAGAAATTTGAAGCTCGCAATGATAATGGTAATATTAGATTAACACTAGAATACCGATCGTTTAATGTGGTCAATATATAATCCTTATAAAAATTGTAGCAATAGATTTATTTTAGTTTCTTCATGCATTCATTATAGTGATATTTATTTTTAAAATTATATTGGATATTTAACGTTTTCAAGGTATCAATAATCGTGAAATAAAAAAAAACTGAAACCCGTAATTTTGACGGGTACGGTAGTTCTTGTGTTAAAATAGATCCTATAAACACCCTCGAAATATACAAAACTATTGTCTCTATAATGAAAGAAAACTATTCTAAATAATTAAGACGTTAACTTTTTGTTATAGAATGTAAGAAATTCCATCATGATATGATTTTGACGAAGAATCATTGTGTTTCCGGTTACAGTCTCATTTCCGTTAGATTAATGCCAACAAATTTGTCGTTGTCACAGTATATAAACGCTTCGAAATTTTCTTATCGTGTAATTAGTTCCCACTGTTTCATCGTGAGGTGATGATTCGGACTCGATGACTCGAAAGGTTTCATGTCGAGATCGACCTGCTTGAAAGCTCTCGTGGTTTCAACGAGAATAGTTACGGAAGAATTACAAGAACGTCTTTATTTACCGTGTTCGTATTCCTACAAATACACTCCCTAATTGACCCGGTAGTGTACCACCGTGTTCTAACCAAACTCGAATGTGCTTTGACCGACTCCCTTGACAGGTTAAAGGTCAATCTGTAAGTACAGCCGCGGTTACGTGATTACCGATAAATGAATACCACCTGCGAATGTCATTGAATTCAGGAGACCCTTGTCGAACATGGTGAGGTTCAGATCGCATTCCGCTGACGGCAACACGTACGATACCGCCGATGACGAGAAGATGCTGGAGAAACTCGCGGGCAATATGGCCAGCAATAATAAATAGTTGAATTTTCCATAACCTGCCGGGAAATTGTGGAACGTTTTATTGAAATAATTAATTATTTGCGAAGAATTCATTTGTGGAATATTAAATGATGGATTGTAGAATTGTGGCATGTATAGGAGGTGTTCAAAATGTTATCGAGAACTGATTATTATTCGTAAATAGAATATTTATATATGAACGTTAGTTATGAATACAATATATGAATAAATATTTATATATCATCAATCAGTTATAGAGGAAGTCTGCGAGATTAAGTTATATACTCATTTCTTATAAAATAAATCTAATATCTTGATAAATAAAATTATTTTATAAGATATTAGTATAATATCTTAAAAACAATTGTTCAATTCAATTTGGTGTCTTCTTATGTAAATTTTCTTGGATCTTTTCAAGCACCCTATGTATAATAGGACCATCATTATTTAAGTCGTACACGAGTCAAAGTGACTAACTCCATTTTTTAAATATTTTCAAGCTTCAGTGCTGAAATACTTAATTGATTCATTATGTATGTATTAACTACATTTCGTTTTGAGGTGTTAATCACTTTGGCAAGTGAAAGAGTATAGGAAAATACCAAGATTCGAAATTTTGTTCTGTATACTCGATTTATTCTTAAAGCAAAATGTTTGTGAACCATTACTGTTACGTGTCTACAAGAATGATGTTAAATAATTATTGTAGTTGGTACACAGTTGATTGTGTATACTTACCAGAGTTTATTATTGCCCGTTCAAAATTTGCTGGCCCAGGATCATCAGACGTTACGTCTTTACCTGCAATTAAAGAAGTATGTGAATGTAGTTAATTATTTATGCTAGATTGTTTTCCACACTGAAAGAAATTAGTTTAGGACGTAATAAAAATGATTATAATACAAATTGAAGTGGAAAGAAATTATGAACAACATACACCGCATACGACTGTAGCTCATCATGGAAATTATATCAGCGATTCTTTGAAACAACATCATTCATATATTTTATTTGGGAGAACTAATTAAAATTATTAAAAAATCAAACAATCAATAAAAGCCAGCACTCCTAATTCTTGTTCGTCTTGTGTAAAAACACTTTCTATTAAACGTTCAAATGTTGCTTCTGGATGATTGGATTAATTGTATATTCTTGTTTATCGATTTTTATAAACTGTATCACTTTCCCCACATTCGATACCTCGTGAATGAATCACCAACTTGCAAACGATAGCGCGTAACGAAGTTTCTGTGACGTTTATTATTATTAACGTTTCATTTAGTGTTGATAAAGCTTAGTTTTCTTTCCTTGCACGTGTCATTAACAGAAAAACATTATGAAGTAAAAATTTCTTAATTGATCGTTTCATCCACGATGCTATTTACGATTTTAAGTATTTCATGTACTATCAGTTCCTTTTGAAATTAATTAATTCAAAAATTGATACGTCGAATAAATTGATAAATAAACAACAGAAGGAAGTAACAAGTATAAGATTTTACAATCTTCAACATTAACAAATTTTGTAAATTTCAAAAACTTTTATTTTACTTTTTAAAGTATAAAAGTAGCTTTATGCATATTTATATGTGCATATATATTTATATATATAAATATATATATAAATCAATGAAGGAACTGATAGTATTGATAATTGAACAATTTCTGATTAAATTTCACGTAACGATTTCAGCTGTAATTAATTCGAATGGCAAGGTGGTGGTGAACGAAACTTGACTGACGAGCACAACAGAATTCCAAACTGAGTAATTGTTTACATGTGTAGCTTACTGTTTACGCTTGTCTGTACACATCAAATTTAATACTGGGTGCGACAAAAGTTTTCAATAAAAGACGTTTGAATTATACTGAATTTTGTAATTTGTAACGTAGATATTTTTAATACCTAATGTTTTATAGCTGATTATGATACTTCAGTACTTCAAGTTTAAAATTATGTAACTTATATACACTACGAAATTGATGACAAATAATAATAATAATAATAATAATAATAATAATCTGAGTTCTGTGTTTTATTGCCAATTGTGATCAATAAAAGAAAAATTTTAAATTTATCGGTAGGCAATAAACTTAACTGCTGATATTGTAATTGGATCTTAATAATTAAATCGATCAATCTAATTATGGTTTATATAATGGGTACTATGCTCAGAATAAAAGGAATAGTCTCCACACGTTACGTTACCAGTTATACGTGTTTCGTCGCGATACCGTGATGTAAAGAGAAAGTGTAAATTAATTCGATGAAAAATTTACTGTAACAACTCATTTTCATTTGTTCGATTTATTTGCAATGTACACACCCATTCATAAGTTTAACTGTACTCTATGAGAGTACAGTATGTATTAAAAAAGTGATAAAATTGTTATTGCTTGAGGATAAAGACACTTCAAACTTGATGGAAATTTAATAGAATCTATTCAGTCTAATATAACAAAAGAAAACATAAAATTTTTGCATTACCTAAAAATGTCATTCTATCTTGACAAAGGCTTTTCATTGAAAAATTTCTATATTTTTATGTATGGAGGAATCAATGTTATACAAGTTGATTTAACAACGATTTAATTACCCTCATCAAACTGCTAGAAAATGACATATTATGGAATATTCCATAATATGCTTTAAACCAATAATATCCAAGCATCGGTGGAAATAAATATTAATAAACCCACCATCCCAGTATCACTGCCGGCCTCGTGGCTGATTATCGTATTCGAGTGATTACATATCTTTGACTAATCGATATATTCTCCTTAGACGTCATAATCGGTATTATTTAAATCTTTTAGACGCTTCCGGAAAACTCTCATGTAACGTCGTATGTCCTGCCTTATTGTTTGAGACTGATCGTGAAGAATAAGGTATGTATTTACTCACACAGAAGCAGAAAAAAAAGATGATTTAAAATGAATGTTACACAAAAGAATAATGTTAATACTCGTTAAACATTAACATTCTTAATGCTCTTATTTTCTGTAACATTCTTAGTAATAATAGTACTAATAATGATCACATAACAACGTTTTTATTATGTCTCAGCTAAATTGATATAAATAATTAATACATGTAATCGAATTATAAAAATTCAAGAAGATTTGAGGATATTAGTGCATGAATTGAGAATAATTCTGTGTTTAGGTATAACATCTTTAGTCCAGGAAATAAAATTATATTTTACTTCCTTTTTTCTCAAGTGGCTCTCTGAAGGCAAGAATTTGCATAAACATTTGCAATTTAATGATGAGACTGTTATACAACGTTTGTCCAAGTAAAAATTTGTTGCATACTTTCTATTTACCTTTCTCACGTGGAGAACTTCCTTAACACGTTAGTAAAGTCACACGTGTATGTGAGGCTAGTCTCTCATCAACAATCGGTAGTGAACAAATTAATAAATTTGTAAATTTAAATATCATGAACAAATTAAAAAATTTCTGAATTCAAATACGATGAATACGTTAGAACTTGAGTTTTAGATTCAGTACCTGACGTCGAAATAGGGATGAAAGCATAACTGGTTTTCTATAAATTTACAAAGACCCTTTGTAATAAATACAATCTATATTATGCAATTTAAATAACTGTTATTATACGTCATTGACTGGATAATCGAACGATAAAATAAACGATGCTCACATAATCAAATTAGAATTTACTATTGTTGTACTAAAAAAACCCTTTGTAATATTTATCGATGCAAAAGTGGATATCATTGAAAAATATAAATAATTCATTTTTTATTTTATTTACTTTCTTAAGGTTTTAGAAGATTCAAAATAGAAAAATAGCATTTTAACAGTTTCTTTGTACAAAATACAAGATAGAAATAAAACAAACGGAAAAGAATAAAGGATAACAATTTTCAGAGTTAACAAAAGGTATTCTAGCATTTAAATAATATAAGTTTTGATGATGGAATTCAGTCGATTCATCTAGTTATGATGTACGTAATAAACATTATGCTTATATTATAATCTCCACATGTTCCGTTACCAGTTACACGTGTTTCATCGCGAAACTAATCATCCCACTTAAATACGTTTCTTATTTTCCACTGATAAAACAGTTACATTGTTACTTTTCATTGGATATAATGCTTGGTAGATTCCTGCCGGTAATTGATTAAACGTAAATAGTGATTTTCTATGTCAGGAAGATCCAGTTATTACGTAAGATAAACGCATTCCCAATATAATTAATTGACACTCATCAGAGCAGATTATTTCAGTTACTTCTAATGCGTACGTAATGAACTTAAAAGATCACCCTTTTACCATTATCGCATCGAACTATTTAAATTATCCCAGGTTTCCCATCTTTATTAGATAAATCCTAAAGACTGTTACCACTTTCAAACATTATTGATCACTTTTTATCAGTTTAATATTGTTCAATTACTAAAATAAATAAAACCACAGATTTTTTACTCAGATATCGGCTAACATCATGAAATAGTTTTACAGAAATAATACGGGAACTAGTAGAAGACATCAAAAGCCAAGGTAATTAAAAACAATTTTAATGCCATTTAGCAACGACTAGTATCTCTCGTCTTTACGAACGTAAACTGTATACGGGTGTTAAACAACAGTGCTATAATGAACCCAGTGAATATTTAATTAGATTTTCATTGTATTTTTAGCAATGACAGACTAAAACCTCTTATGCGGGTAATAAATCGTCTACTTCTTTCTTACTCCATGAATTTCCATTAAGTGAAATAATCAACATGGTTCTTATAGTGCTCGATTCTACGCTACATTCATGAAACCCATGAAGCATTTATGAATTTACGAATGTTACGATACAAAATATAATTCACGCGAAAGAGTAGTAAAACATTTCCTGCTGAACTTATGAAAAATTATAACATGGAATTACTTTTATAATTATAATGATGCATCGCTTATTCTTTCCAGTTGAATCATTGTAAAAATTCGGATATTCGACCAGTTTCTCAACCGACCAGTCCACACAGCCCAGATTTCGCAGCATTTCAACATTTGAAATTACATTCTTGCCGTACTGTTTACAGCGTTGCGGAAGATCGGCCGAAGAAAGTGCATCGCAAAGCATAAACGCATGTTCAACAGAATTTACGTGACATATACGAAAGAATTCCAGAATACGTGATTTTCTGGCTTTTCGATTCTGCTATGGCGTTACCGATAACCGGAAGTAAAAACAATGTTCGAGAGTTAACTCCGTAGCATCTTATCTTTAGTAGCTGTAGTATTGGTATAGTTCAAAATTTCAAATATAAAATGCCCTGAATCGCGAGTCTGTCCACGTGTTCAATGTCAAACTTTACAACGCATTTTTCAACGGTTTTACACCTTAGCCGATATGATAATTTCGTCACGAAAATTGTATCAAACAAGCAATGTTGTGATACAATTATGCACATTTCGTAGATCGATTTCGTCATATCGTGAATCGCGATTATAAAATTCGCTTCGATCGAATAATTGAGGATATTGTGATATCTGTATCATTTCCATATTAAAAGGAATTTTCTACTTATCAAATGTCTTTGTTTAAGGAAGAACAGTCTACGTTCATTATTGACCAGTATAAACAGAATATAGCATTATTTTATCGTAAGTATCATATATAAAATAAATAAAATATATCCATGCTTATGATACTGTTAACATAATAAAAATCTTTACCCATGATGAGATCTCGTTAAAGCCAGTATACACGAAATCATCATACAAATGAAACTACATAGAATAATTCGTACCTCAAGAAATAAATTTAACAAGCATTGAAACTGTTTTATTCCTGAAACAAACGATATAAAACTTTCTCGATATACACTTCCCAACTCTACACTAGAAACATTCCTTTCAATTGTACGATGATTCAGGATCCAACATTCATCTTCTAGTCCAAGCTTTACCTAACGTCTACCAAAGGAAACTAAGAAGGATTCGATTCAACTCGGTATCCTCGAAACGAACGCTTCAAAGTGTTGTTCGAAACGATATTGCAGCATTCTTCAGCAAGGCGCGTTACATTTGCCAAACAGGCTCAACTATCACAATATTACGAATTCACAACACAAAAACTTGCCTGTCCGTTTTACTAAAGAATTCATTAAATATCTTCTTATCTGCCTCTGCTGCGGTCGGTTGTCAGTAGCAGATTCCACTTGAGAAGAATAATTCATGCACAAAATGCGGATCCGAAAGGGAAAGAAAAGAAGGAAAAAAAATAAGAGGAACGTGCGAGATGCCGAAGCGAGGACGGAACGTCAAATGAAAAAAGGCGGCGGTTACGCGGCGGTTAAAGTGCAACATGCACCGTGAAATGACAGCAAACCGAGCGCAATTTCAACTGCACCCGCCACACACGCCCGCCGCGAAACTACAATTCGCATTGAAATCACACGCGTACGCAAAAGCCGTGCCGTCTATGTAAATCTCGCCCCTGGTGGGGCAGAACAGGTTGTTGAAGTAAATCGCGGCACCGACAGGTGAAAAACTTACCTCCGCCCACACCCACGTGATAAAAAGCCGCAATTATGTTACTCGTGTCCGGCTACCTGATCAAAGAATCGCTGTACTAACCCTCTGCACTCTAAAGGATGTGATAAAACACTTAAAGTGACAATATTGGGTTAATAGAAGCTGAGCTATGAACTACGAGATCATCATTGCTAGAAAAAAAAGCAAAAAAAGACTGCAAGG